AGGCCTGGCGCAATATGGTTCATGGGGTCATGAAGAGTCAGACACGACTTAACGACTAAACAACAAACAATGATATACAGGCAGCAAACCCCACACTCACTTGCATTGATGATGTTACCTAGCTGGGTAATGAAATGTCTGCAAGCAAACAACTCAGAGAGCACCAAAAATTCCACAATAATGATATGCCATCATTAAGTGAAGAAGTTATGGATTCCAAAAGCAATTTACCGGTAGCACTTGCCAAACAAATAGACATCATGTGTGTGTGTGTTTGAAGCATTTTTGCCTATGTGTTTGTTTCTATTTATATTGTTTCTGAATTCATTAAAGTTCTGGAAGCAGGAAAGGGGGGGGGCGTAATATACATGTTATGAAGTTATGTTTGAGGTAGGGAGAGTGAGCACTGATTGGCTAACATTGTTAGGTACACAGGACCTCCATTCATTGTTTAAAAAAGAGATTTAGCACTCTGTCAAAAAAAATACTAAACCCATGTACAGTATATAAGGAGCCCACATAAGACCTGATAAGTGCTTTGGAAAATGCTACTCAGACATTAGTCATAAAATTAAATAATAAGAAAACAATAATAAGAAAAACCAAGCAACTAGGTATTAAACCATTGCTACCTTCTGTACTTTTCCATTGAACATCAGCATTTTAAATCAACACACTAGACAGTATCTCAGAGAAAACCACAATTGAACACCATTTGGGAAAAATATTTGATTGCTTTTTTTTTTCCAAATGAAATTTAGCCTTCTGAATCAGAGATTAAGAGTGGGAAAGCAACTGCCCTTTTCTGTCTCTCCATTTTTCTACTCAAAATTATTCTTCCCAACTGCTTTTTTTTCATGTGGGAAAAAAAAAAATAGTTTGTTGCTATTTTCTACATTATTTTTTACACATAATATTGTTGTATGCCACCAGAGTTGCTTTGTGAGATGGGTGGCTCTATAAATGTGAAGTATAAATTAAAAAAAAATAAAAAAAAATAAAAATTACTGGTTTTAGTTCCTAATGAGGGAGTAATAGAAGATGCATTCAGATTCAGCTTTTACAGATTTATAGAAAACAATATTGTAATTTCAGAGTATTATTCAAAGTCTGCAGGATAATATTTTAGAAACTTACATTTTTATATTTATTTCACTTTTATGTCACTTAGTAACTGTAATGTTTTGCAAACAATACTATAGACACCGAAACAGAGATTCCTGCATTTTTGTTACAGCACATAAAACCTAGGACTGGGAAAGACTGTTTTAAAGGGACAATGCCAAACCAGTTTCCTGTGTCCTCATTGAAGTATTAGTGGCAATGTTTGTCAGATGATAAAAAATATGAACATTTCAGGATTCATGGTTAGATTTATCAGATCCATGAGAAGTAGTCTTGCTTAGGCACTCGCCTGTGGGCCTAGCAAATAGGCAGGTTGGAGATGAGGAGATATTGAAAACCCCTGGACTTTTCCTTAAAAAGGATTACATATTTGTAATATTAAGTGTTAGCTTTTGCAATGGATGTTATTTTAAATGAGCTTAAAAATGTTTGAAAGCTTTGGTGAATTAAAAATAAAGCTGCCCTTCCCCTGATGAAGATGTGACAGCAACAAAACAAAATTTTGCTTTCAGACTGTGGAAGAGGCTGGATATATAAGTCTTATCTGAACTGTTCCTTTTGTCTTGCTGTGGGAAGGGCTTTATATATAAATTTAATATGCACTATCCCTTTTGTCCTGCTAAGATTGTCCTGAATAAAGAAATACTGTGAAGATGCATGCAGTATCTAAAAAGAACTGCATGAACTGGTAACGTTCCCTCCACTCCACTCCATGTCCTAGAAAGATTAGGTGAACAAGTTTCTGTAAGTTAATTTGCAGACATTATGTGAGGGTGAAGATGTCATACCCAGTCATGTACTGTTTTAACCAAAAAAAGTTCCCCATGGCCTGAAATGTATTCTCATTTGTATAAACATAATTTTGGGTTTTTTAAGATGATAGAATAATAAAATACAATGACATAAAGAAATAATTTTCAGTGTAAATTGATAAATCAGCCATGTTATTAATCCTTTGAAAAATATTTTAATAATAAAGGTTATCAGGAATGTATTAGAACAGTGATTTTTTTTTTTAATTTTGAAATTAGGATTCAGAAAACCATTATGAGAAACAAATTAGCAGGCATGTTGCTGAAAGACAGGACCTTGTGTGGCAAAAGGTTGGTGTCTTTGTCATAATTTTTGATATTATTATCAAAGTTTAAGAATAGGCAAAATCTGATTTCTGATCCATTTAATATACTTTCACTAAATACGTAGGGTTAGGGTTAGATTTAGTGGAAATAATAATCAATTGAATCTTAAAGATGTTACATGTGTTTAAAGCCTTTGCTTTAGAATTTGGCAAAACTAAACCTGAAGAAACTTTGTACTTCAATGCAATACACTTTTATACTTTTATCTAATCCAGAAAATTCTGAATATAGTCCAAGACTGCATGATTGCTATTGCTCTTAATAATCTAATTCCTTTGCAAAACAGATTATATATAGGAATTGAAAAAAGAAATATAAATTGGGCTGTTGCTTCTCTTTCATACTGATTTATAGAAAATCTATACCTTTCTTGTCACACAAATAAACCTATTCCTTTGCATCTTGATTAGAATGTAATTGTTATTTTTGATCTTGTGTGGATTAATAAATAATCCATTATTTATTATCTGCTTTTTGAATCATTATTATCAACTAAGACTAAGCCATATGAAAAATAAATATATAATAATTGATGAAACTTTTAAAAAGTTGCATTTAAAGATCAGCTTCACTATATCATATTTTAAATTATTGTCAACAAATAGGAAACTGTTCATCATGAGAAAGAAGCATTAAAGAAGCAGCATGAAGAAGCCATTACAACTTTAAAAAAACAGGTAAGATTCTTTTTCCTCAGCAATAGTTATTATACTTCTGAATAGATTAATTTTAACTTTAGGTAGAAAGTAATATTGCCATATAAATTCACAACAGTAACTATCTTTGAAGTGCTGGTTTTCAAACTGATATCCACACTTTCTTGGGAATGAGTTACATTGAACTCAGTTGGAAGGGGAACAAGAGGTTAGTGTTTGCAAGAACAAATGTCAGCTTCTGTCTAGAGTAGCTTCTTTTATATAAACTGTCAGCTTGTTTACCCTCATCCATACCAAAATAACTTTCATGTTATTTTCATGAGAGTTATACAGTATACTAATAATATTTCAGTCCAAACCTCTTTCTTCAACAATTTTACGTATATGTTGAAAAGAGTGGGAGGTGGAATCTCATAGGTTAATGGTAATGTGCCCTAGTATCAACTTAAGAGCATTCCATCAGGAAGAATATATTGCCTCCTAGGCTCAACTCAGATTAGAGGGTTGAAGGATCTCAGAGTTGATTTCATGGTCAATAATATCAAAAGTTACTGAGAGATCCAGAAGAACTTACAGGGTTATACTCTTCCCATTTGTTTCCCAATATAAGTCATACATCAGCTTGATCAAGGCTGTATCCATCTCATAACCAAGTCTAAATTTTGATCAGAATGGATCTAAATAGACAACAGCATCCAACACTGCTTAAAAGGCTGCCTCATACTCCAACACCTTGCCCAAGAAGGATATGTTTGAGACTAGATAGTAATTATCCAGAGCTGTGTGACCAAATCTGTCTTCTTCAGCCAATGCTTCACCATTGCCTTCTTTAGAGTTGTGAGGACTTCACTTCTGAAGGAGAGATCTCCAAGACCTAGACACCAAACCCAACTCTAATCTGTTGCAAAAGCTAGGATGAGCAATGTCTATAGAGCAGGCAACAAGCCTCACTCCTCCAAGCAGTTTGTTCATATACTTAGATTACAACAATTGTCTATAACAACATAACAAGATAATGCACTATCTTGTAATCCTAGTCAATATAACAGATTATATCAGCAAAACACTCAGTAAATGGGTCATAGTAGGCCTTTGAAGATTTCAGCTGTTGTGTTTTAGATGCTTCAAGTAGAAAGTCTCTAATCACCCAGAAGTGCACTGCTGGACATACTGAGCAGATGCAATATACTATGACTTAAAAAGTCCTCTCAATATTTTTGAGAACATTGCTGTAATTTTCATTTTATTGTTTATCATTACTGTATTAAAATAAAAGTTGCATACAGACACACAGTTGAGATTTTGCACATTTTAAATAGGATCAGAACAATCTATCACTTTCCGATATATCAAGAACAGATGTAATTATGGACAATCCTTGCATATTAAGCTCTGCTTCAGAGAACTTCCCAGTAGCACTGGGTGTCCCAACAGCACACACTGTATGTTGCCTTTAAGATGTTTTACTGTATTGGTTGAGGATAATCAGCATTGTTTGCTTTCTTCATCTGCCACAAGGAGATTACTCTGAAAATGACATAAACTACCCCTTTCAGAATTGAGCCCAGCAGCAGCCTGCTAAAGGGAGGCTAATCCCTGCACAGTAAGAATGAGCACAAAACTACTAGGCTTGAATAGAGTGTACATTGATCACAAAATATGATTCACACCCTGACTCAGGTAAACAGAAAGCTGTCTAATTTGCTTTGGAGAAATTCAGAAGCCCTTTTATTCCAAGGGGGGCCTAAATCCAAATATCAAGCTAGCAAACCAAATTTTTGCATATCCCACTAGATGTCAACAAACAGTTATAACTTGATTTGGCTGATCTGAATGTAGAAATGGTGGACTCTGATCAGTTAATGAGGGTCAGGAGGTTTTTTTTTTTTTTTTAAAGAAGCATTTAGAATTGTAGGAGAACCTAACAAAGATATCTGAATATTGGAATAGTCCTATGATATATTGCTTTAACATCTGTCCTCCCAAAACACAGTGATCTGATAAATTCATTAATTGTGATTGGAAGCTTGGCTTATTAGTCAAAAATTACTTTCTCTCACTCCTATTCCATTTCCTTGAGAACCAGTGTGGAGTAGTGATTAAGCTGTTGGACTTAGTGGGGAGACCCAGGTTCTAATCTACCCTCAGCCCACATAGGAAGAGGGAGCTCCTGTTACAAAAAGCAGGATATAAATGTAATTAATAAATACATATAAATTTTGCATATATATTAAAGTTCTGTTTTCTTCTACAGATAACCAACTTCAGGATAACAAAACCTTGAGATTTATTCATATATGATACAGACACTAGTTTTGAGTTAATTTTTTTTTCCTGTAGAGTTTTCACTGAAGAGTCTGCTCCTATTTAGGAAATAAATTTCCTCTGCAGTGCAAGCTACTAAATTTTGCTGGAAGCTTAAAGTGTAATAATATTTTCTATTAACTAAATAAAAATGTCCTGGTTTGGCTAAAATGTTGAACATTGTTTGAACATACTGTTTATTTTTTTTTTCTTCTTGGCATTCAAGTTTCAGGCAAAAATTATTGCTATGGAAGAAGAAAAGGTAATATGAACATTTGTATAATTTACTTGTTCAATTAATGGATGTTCAGTTAGTGGTTGAGATTTTAAGTGCTTTGTATGGAAGGTACTGGCAGGGACTCATTTCTTACATTCTAATAGCAATGTGTACAACAACTGATAAGTCCCACTCAGAATGTTGATGATCTTTCAACATAGCTTCCCAGATGTTCATGTGTATGCTTCTAGAAGGAAACACTAGCTATATTCCTAAGTATATATCAAATGCTTTGATGGATCCAGAGTACCATTATAATCTTTTTTTTAAAAAGTGATTTGTGTTATTTATGGTTTAGGGACTTTTTAAAAAAAATTCTATGTTGTAAACCACACTGGATCCTTCACAATAGGGTGGTACATAAATGTTGATACAAATAAATAAACCATTCTAGATTTCTGTCAAAATATGGCCTAAAGAGAAAATTACAGAATGTCTGGATTAATGAAGTTTATATGTAATTACTTTAGAGAAGTGATGAAGCTGAATTTTGCAATTGGCAGGTTACTGTAAAATAGCAGAATGTGTGAATATAATTCAGAGGCTCACTGCATATTGTTCTTTTTAAAATTAAAATACCATATATGAAAAATAAAAAGGTCACATTTTGCAAAAAAAACACGTATTAGGGTAATACTTTCCTTGCATAGTAGAACAGAATCTGTGAACTATTTTATAATAATTTCAAAACAGAGACATTAAGTATACTGTAGAAGAATATAAAGCAAGATACAATATATTTTTCAATAAGTATCATTCTCAATGTCCTTGGAATAAGTACATTTCTAGCCTTCAGATCAGCACAGCAGGAAATCCCATTCAGTCACAGTATTCAACACAGAGAAACATAGGCATCCACAGCTGGCTACAGTGATGGAAAAGTGACACATGTGACATCACAATACAAATTCTGTCTTTACACACTTGTGTAGTATGTAAGTTAGAGTTTGCATCATGACATCCTTATACACGTTTCATTAGTTATCCCCCACTGGATCCCTTGAAATCACGTTTTCAAATATGTGTACTCACAAAATAAATGTGCACATTTATATCATTTATTATTATTTATCCATAATGATAAATATATTTCAGAAGATTTATTCAAGAAATGCATGACATAAGAAATGTTTCTTTGAAGGGAAAACATCTGCTTGCCGTGGAATCAAAAGAAAGAGAAATGGAAGGATTGAAAGAAACATTTAAAAAATTACAGGTACATTAACACTGCATTCAAATATTTATTTATTTAGGTCCTGATGCTACAGTACAACAGTGAAGACTATGCATGATGGATGAAGTAAATGATCTGATTTCGGCAATTACCAATGAAGAATAACATAACGTGAATCCCTACTCTTTTTCCTGTCAGCTTGTTGATAGATTTAGCTTTTATTTATGTGTTTGCTGTATTAGGCTGAAAAATTTATCTATCCTGCAAAGAGCTGAGGAAAACAACATATTTACTCAAAGAGAAAGTTAAAAAATCTTCTTCTCATTGTCAATCACAATAAAATTTTCAAATATGTTATGTCATAAGCTTTCATAGAATCTTTCATCTTGGCTGCTTTTGCTACAGTCAACTTCTACAAACTACAGTAAATATGTGTTACAGATTAAAATGAGAGACAGTAATAGGACAAAGTTCTTCCCCCAAATAGATGTACACAGATACATATAATAAATGCAGAAAATATTTAACAGTAAATGTATTAGCATGTATTTTACAGGATTTGAAAATGTAAACATGGTTTATTGTGGCTGTAATTTTTCTGTCAGCATGGAAAAGCAAGACATTCTTCTGATTTCTAATATTAGAGATTACATTTTCTTCATACAGGGAGATATGGTATCACCGCTTCTTTCCACAATTATTATGTTATCACTCAGTGAACAGAACTCTTCAAGATGGTGTGCTAATGGGCAAAGTCCAGAAAGTGCTAACCTCTTGAAATTTGATTTTCTCTCACTTCTTTGGAGAGTCATAGGATCCCATCTATTCTTCACCATCAAGTTAGGAAAATATGGTTTTGGGGTTTTTTTGTTTTTTGTTTATATCTTTGTCACACTAGAGCCTGTTCTGATAGACTTTTGAACATAACAATTCTTCCTATTCTCAGAGACAGAAAAGCTCATATGCATGGCTTGGTCAAACTCAGGCACACATCTTCTGTCATGAGTGATACATAGCACATGGTATCCTGTACATAGCTGGCTCAATGTGTCACAGTGTGACAGGGTTATTTTTTGCACTGAAGGTGTATTGTGTTCTACACTGGTGGTAGTTGACACAGAAAACAACACAATGGAGGTTTTTTGCTTTTTTACTATTTACAAGTGAAGCTATTTACAACAAGGATTTACAATACAGTCCCGGTGTTCACCTGGTGTCAGATTTCCTCCTAGATCAGAGACTATATCTCCCTCTAACTCTCCTGCTAATTGTTTTGTTTGCCTCCCTCTTTCACTCCAACTCCCTCCCCCATTTCTGGGCTAACAAGAGAGAGAGAGTAAAAAGAAAGGAATAGGCTGGAATTTTACTATAGTGTGCATAGCATGGCTTGACGTCTCCTGGAACTGCTCAGCTGAATGCCTACTGCTTCTCTGCTGGGGAAAGAACATCTCACAGGGTCTTCTGCCCAGTCCTTCTCCAGAGATCAGGGCTTTGCTACTGATTGCTGATCCCCTTCTTTCCTTCTCGGGTCTTGGGTGAAGCTGCCATCTGCAGCCAGCCATGTTCATCCTTCCCATCTTGAGTCTCGAGCAGAGCTCTTGTCTCTCTGGGTCTTCACTTCTTTTCTTCTAGGGAAGCTACCCCTGGACCTTTCTTCTCCCTTCCTGACCAGGAACCGACAACTGCTCCACACACTTAACTTCTTTCTCCACCTTTTCTCTCCAGCCGCTCTGTTCACTCCATGCGCAGACTTTTTTCTCTCCTCTCCTTTTCTCTCCAATTTTTAATTGGCGCAGCAACTGAGGAGGTGGGTCTCACCCCAGGCCTCTAGTCCCTAACACCTATATACCAGGCTGGACAAATGGGACTGCTGTTTCAAAATCTCCCCACACCAGCCCTGGCAAGCAACCAGCTCAGCTCATCTGCCCTTGTGACAACACAGCTGCCCTTCAAAGCCCAAAATGAGCTGCTTTTCCCTTTTATTCACCAACTATGCCGGGTCACACCAGCAGAACAACAGCCATGCCATGCCACTAAAACCAATATGCCACACAGTGGTACAGGATATATGTAAGAATCTCCAAATAGTTCTTGCTAGATTATAAGAACCACATAGCTAGAGAAGCCTCTATTCACTTCAGTTCCTCAATCAGGTCTCCCTATCTTTTGTCCTTTCACTATCTATTATTTCATCTGGGGAATGAGTACAAATCTGTTCAACAGTAACTTGGAGCCAGACAAAATACACATAAGCTAAAATACCTGATTCATATTTGGGAAGGTCACAAACACAAGCTGAGATTTCTAATGGCCTACATAGAAGTAATGTGCTTCCTGTAGTGGAAAGATTCCCAGTCTCAAGCTCTGAGAGCAGAGCATCTCCAAGGGACTCTAAATACCAAAGCATAGTAACTGATCTTGAATGGACAACAGACAAAGTCTCCAATTTAGGAAATATTTCTATAGGTTGTGACCAGAAGGAGTTGTATAAGTCTGATTGTGTTTGGATTGCTTTAAGCTGAATAATAAACCCAGCATACGTACCAAATGTTCTAGAATTTTTTCAAGCCAGACAAAATCAGGTATAGATTCTTCTCATAGACCCAAATTATATTCCCTGAGATTTACTGATTTGGTGAGATTAAAAATGATTTTCCTTTAGGAATCTATTATGGGAAAGAGAATCTTCAATTCACATTAGCTAAATTGCTTAAAGCACAGATTATCATGATCCATTTTTTAAAAGCTGATCAAACTTCTTGGGTGGTAAGAGAAAAGCTAAATATGGCTAATTTATTGCTACTGATAAAAGTAAGACTAAGTCAAAATATGATGAAAGCTTTAGGAAGTATTATATTTATTTCTTGTCCAGCCCTAACTCCAATAAATGAATGTGTTTTATTCATGAGATGGGGCTCACAAATTCATGAGAGGCTGCAGTTTGCAAATTTTGAGAACTCCTAGCTTAGAGATAGCTTTACAAAAGTGAAGGGCTGATTCTCAACAAGGCAGTAAAGTAGAACACACATAATTTTAGCAATCTTTAGGATCAACACTGCATGGTGGACAAGATCTGCAAAGTTTCCACTTAAAGTCCTGTTACACCATTCACTCAAAATCATAAATGTTCTGGACCAACGAAACAATTACATCTGAAATGATTCTGTTACTGAGAACATAAAGGAAATTGCTGCTTCCTAACAACCAAAAAAGGACTTACTTTGTTGTGATGTTTCAATCTTCTTGGTGAAATGAGAACTGTTAACCTGCTGCAGTTCTGTAACTAGGATCTTAGAAGTCATCTCCTTATGGACTTATGTGGACATCTTATCTTGCTGTTTCTTACTCTTGAAGTAGATGTAGAATGATTATTTCAGGTTGTTAATTGCAGTATTTTTTTTAATTCCAGCTCTATCTGCAGTAAAAGAAGGAACTTAATCCTGAAGTAAATAATTTTCTTCATTCCAGCAAGAATAAAACTTCACAGGGAGACGTCTTTTTACTTCCAGAAAGTTCACACTGGAATTATTAAATTTAGATTAACATGGCTACTTTTATAGAATTTTTTTTCCTGGGCGTGCTTCTTCTGGTTTTAATTTAAGGAAAACAAAATATTTCAGTTGGAAAAGTAAAAAAGAATTCTGAAAACATCTTTTGGAACTATAAGAAACCAGAGTAACTTCTCACTATTAAATACTTATACATAATTTTTTAAGCCACACCTTAACCTGAGTATAGGGCATTTTACCAAAAACTTATGATTTAAGATCCTTGCATTATTTATTTATGCCCTTTCTTTTTACTCTGCAACAATGGGAAAAATGTTATCTGCCATTAATTCTGTACTGATTACTCTGTTCCCATTAACTTTATAAATAGCCTGGTTATTTTGATGTCATTCTTTGTTTATTTAATAATCCAGTTAATGCTGAGATTATTGTAAAAGCAAATTCCTTCACATTGTTGACCTTCTGTGCAAAAGGCTGAAAGGATTTGTTATGCCCTGCTCAATTCATGACACAGCAGAAGTGATATATAGTGTACTTCATGGTTGGGTGAGCATGTTACATGGTTTTAAAGTAATAAATGCTCCCTTGCTTTTCTTAACTAAGATAAACTTGAAAAAAAATATATCATCCAGTGATGGAATCTTATTTAAACTGATCATAACAAAGGCCTTTTGAGTGAGACGCTTCTGATTTTATTTCAGCCAGCTCAGTTGCACTAAAGTAGTTCATCTATTCTATTATGTATACAGCATCAGAACAATATCTGAACATCAGAAAACATACAGAATTGCTTCTTTTCTTAGCTGATCAGGAAAGTTACCAGGCTTTTTTTATTCAGAGGAGAAACACATTCTTATGCAATTCTGATAGTAGCAGCACCTAGAAGCAGATTATTTTATTAAAGCCATTGAGAAACTGCACTTTATCTTCCCATGTCACGGCTAGGATACTAACTTAATCCCACCCACTAGCTGGGAAGGAGCGGCTGCTCCAATGCTTGCTTTTCCCTTCTTACCCTATTTGTTCTTCATTTCTAAGCTTGCCACCTAGAGAAATCTTATTTTTCAATATATGTACAACTTTTGGGATATAGGTTAATTATTATTTTATTCACATAATTCACATTTATTCAGGTGAATAAGTTTAAGTTTAGTTTTCTTTGAACATACTGTTAATGGCAGTACTGTTTTGTAAAAATTCTGCTTATGTATAGCAGCTGCTGATCACAATATATGACTGATAGCAATAACTGTCTGCCATTCTTTAATGCAAAAAACAGGGAAAAGTTGGTACTCTACTCTACATTTATTTTCCTCTGATTTCAAGTTTGGAATTTTTTTTATATATATATATACACCAGCTGCATACTATGTTGACATTTTAATTCAGTTCACTAAAATTCATTTCCTGTTCAGTCTCTCTCAGCATAGATCTCATTAATATATATGTGAATTTCGATTTTATTTATTTATTTATTTGTTTGTTTATTTATTTATTTATTTATCAATGCAATTCACTTTACGCTTGACTAAAATTGAACTGCATTTGCCATTTTGAGCCCCATTCATCCAATACAGAAAGGTGTCTTTAGAGTTCTTCATAATCCCATTTAAGTTTAGTTGCCTCACTGCTCACCCCTTGCTCCAGATTGTTTATAGATAAGTTAACAAGCACTAGTTGTAATTCTGGTCCCAGAGGGACCCTGCTTTGAAAATTCTGCAAGTCAAAGATTGTCTATTCATCCTTAATCATTATTTGCTGTTGTTTAGCCAGATATTAATCCATGAGTGCATTTGTTCTCTTACCCTATGGCTGCTGAGTTTGCTCAGGAGTCTTGGTAAGGGATTGGCGAAAGCTGTTCTGAAAATCCAGATGTAGTTAGATTACAAATAGTATAATCTGTGTAGATTACAAATATTATAATCTGATAGAAATTTGAATGCAGTAGTATCTGCAATGCCATTGAAATTGACCTAGTATTTCAATGTTATAGACTTTTTTTCCAATCAAGAAAGTTAATGCAGAGAAAAATCATAAGATTCTTGAATGCAATTTTCATGACTGACATATAAAAATATTTTATAAATTATTATTCATATTTCATCAGTATGCATAAAGTGTGGAAGGTGGAAAGAAGGACTTTCTAAACCTCTGAAAATCCTCTCTGCCTTGAGTGCTGCATTTATGATGAACATGTTTTGTCACTGATTCTTTATTTCTTTTTTTAATCACAAAAGAGAAGACTTGGTTATATGTAATAACTTGAAAACTGATAAACCATAGTACTAAAAAAACTTTTAAAAGATTTAATTTTTAATAATTTCCATAAAGTAGTATAATGACAAATAATTGTTAACTGATATTAAATGCATTAAGATAATTATCTGGGATACAATATTAATAAAAATTATTTGTTTTTATTATAACAGATTTCAAAATACACTTTGCAAAAGAAGCTTAATGAAATGGTAAGGTAATACTCTAAGGAAAAAAAATGGAATCCTAATCTCTTGTTCAATGAATGGAAATTTTATTCATATAAGATGGATAGGCATTTTTTTTACAAGCACAACTCTTCTTCTGATCATGAAAGAAAAACCTGAATTGCATGCCAAACACTTTGCATTTTATGTGAAGTATTTTAATTAAGAACTTTTACATTATCGATCCATCACAGACATTGATTGGTAGGCAACTCAAGTAGCTTTTTATTTCATGCTAATATTTCTGAAATTATTCATCCAAATATCTTAGTATTTGATTCTTGTTCTTGTAAAAACTGGGCATTCTCATTTGTACATTCTCATTTGTCAACTGTCTTTGTAAAATAACATACTTTTATTAGCAAAAGAAGAATTAAAGCTATATGTTTTGATGAATTTTGTTTTCTATTTACAAGCTATTTATAATTAAAATATGCATATATGACTTGCATATTATTTGAATTTTGATTTTAAAAAAAGGAATATAAAATACTGTAGTGCTTCCTCTTCTTTCACTATTATACAGAAAAATAAGAGTCCTTGAGTGCCAATTCACTCTGAACCATGTTTGAATTTAAAGAGGGCTGTTGAAACACTGCTAAGCTTGATTGACTAAAAGCTGTGAAAATTCTGCTGCTGCTCAACTGGAAAGAACAAAGATAATATTGTCAGACCATTATAAACTGTTATTTTAATTAAGAAGCTCAAAACTAGAGTCCAGTTTAGCCTTAAGTACCATGACATTTGTACAGAAAGTCATCTTCAACGCTACAGTGATTTTACACAAAATATGGTGAAATTGAATAATGTGTCCTTTGACCTGAGAGATAAGGCTACAAGTTAAAGATCAAAGGCAATGTAAAATGTGTTTGTCCTATTTCACTTTTAAGTTAGATTCTTTATTTAAGTTGTGTTCTATTACACACATACAGTACACACACACAAAGATATGGCTGTTATCATTATGCATTTTAATTCTTAATTTTACAAAATATACTTTATGTTACCTTTAATTTTAATGTATCAGATATAAGCGGATTTGGAAGTTATTTGATAATTTCTTAATATGTTAGAGTAAATATGATAAATTCTCATATTTACAAATAAATTTCAGACTCATACAAGTGCTTTGGCTAGTGATGATTTGAAATCATTCTTTAATGGTGAAGAGAATTTTCACCATGCTAATTGAATAGCTATGGAAAGCAAACCTGTTGGCAGGACAGCATTCTGATACAACCAGGTATTTGGTAAAACATAAAGCAGTCCTTTATACTATACTAACAACTGCCTTACTGAGCAAGTCTTTTCTCACAAGAATTAAACTAAGACCTGCATCAAGAGACATAAAGGAAAAAGATCATAGACTAAAATCCAGGGCTTCATCCTTTAACCCTAATTTTTCCAATGAATACTGTCCCTATTTTTGTCTGGATCCCATTCACACTTAAAATAAAGTTGCACATTATTTTATTTTTTATATTATAATAAATTAAAATAAATATGTATTATAATAAATTTATATTGTAATAATATAATATAATGTAATATTATTTTTAAGTTGCACTTAAAATAAAAATAGTATTGAAGGATTCCTCAATCTATTTCAATGGGCATGTTTGACATATTTGTACTCAGTTGCACAATTGTCTAGTTAAATGTCCGAAGCTCCCTTGGAATGCACTGGAAGAAAAAAGAAACCTTTAGAAGAGAAATAACATAGTTACTCAAGGAGCAACCTGTGGTCCATGAGCAGCATGTAGCTTAAGCCTTGTGTCTTCTTATACCACAAATGGTTTCTCAATAGTATACCATTGGCAATTTATTGCATAATGACAATGCAATCTTCCAACGAAAGCCTACAGGAAGTCAATGAAAATGCAGCATTTTTTAAAAATCCAAATGCTAGAAAAAGTGGGGAAAAGGGTAAAATATCCAGCCTCTTCCATAGAGATCAGTGCTACTGCCCTATTCCATTTGATCTTTAGTCAATTAAAATGGAGAAAGTAACATGTGCATCCTTTAAATTCAAAAAGGTTGGCAATCCCTGGGCTCAAGAGTGGGTCACTCATCAGTTTTCAGAAGAGAATGATAAAACAGAAGACCAAGTTCAGGCACTTTTGCACAAACAGCCCTAACCTATTTTCAGAATCCTTTGAAGTGGAATGGAAGAATGAATTATTAATTAAAAACCTATGAGGAGTTAAGGAAAACTGACTGAGAAAAGCAATAGATAGTTAACAACCCTCACTTCCCTCCCGAGTTATGGTGAAATTAAATATTTCAATACTGTAACATATTACAGAGTACAGTAAAACATTACATTACAAAACATTTACTGAAAACATTCAATAAAGTAACAGAGTTTTAGAGGAAGGATCTTACATTAATATATCACAACACTTTCTTACAGTTCAATGTTCTTTGCTACTTTTCTCTCCCAGGAGCAGTAGTAAACATGTTCTTAGCATTTGTGTGGCCTGGAAAGGTAGAGCATAAGGTACTTTTTTGGACATAATGGCTGCCCACTCTTTACACCACATTAATAAACTAGCTGATTTTGGTGCAGTTGAGCAGCAAACTAAAACTTTAAATGTTTTCATACATCATGCTGAGGCCCTAAAATAGTAGTTTGTTTTTTTCAGCTTTTTTTTTTTTACATAGGGATATATGTATTATGTGTATTTGTAAAAAAAAAAGAAAAAGAAAAAAGAAAAAGAAAAGAAAGGGAAAAAACAAAAGAAAAAAAATCCCCAAATAGAGCAGGGATAAGGAGAGCAAAATACTGTATTTTTCCGACTATAAGACGATACTTTTTTCTAAAATCCTTACCCTAAAAAC